TTATGTAAAGTAGAAAGAGGTACCCATTTAGTACTAAAAATTACTAGCTACAGACTATAAGAAGTAGTTGTAGGCAACCAGATTTGCCCTCAACAACTCTGCAGGAGGAATATTTAAAAGTTAAAAGAAGTACAGATTGTGCCTTTGACAATACTGTAACTGAAAACCAAACTGTCAGAATCTTTTTTTTTTTGGCTTCCACTTTGTATAAAAAGATCTTACAGACATCAAATTATATGAAAAATTTCATGGTCAGTCATCTCTATAAAACCATTTAATTGGCTCTGGTTACTACAGTCTGAATTTTTCAAACACAGTAGAGATATATTTTCAAATAACAGTGTCATTTTTATTATATAAATCCAGCTTACTCAGAAAATGCAGTGTCCTACCTCTGTGTATTTTATTGGTAAAGTACATATTTTTAGATGGTCTCCAGCCAGTTCTGCAGCTGGGTGTGGAGAAAAATAACATTCCATTCTAATTCCTGAAATAATTACTTCATCTCCTACAGTACCAAATACACTTTCATACTTTTCAGTTAATATGCAGAGCTTCAAATATTGTCATTTGTCTTCAAATTAAATAGCTCCTTTTCAAATTTAGCTATAATATTTGACAATCATCATTCAGAACAGTGACCAGAATAATAAAAAATAACTCTCCTTTCCTGAATACATTTATATATTTTCTTTCTGCATTTTATTAATAATTGCTTTGCTAAATTATAGACATAATATCTGACGCTTCTAACCATTTTGAGACTGATTGTTAATGAAAAGGGTATAAGGCCAAGAGCTCATCTGGAAGTTTGTCTCTAAGAGGTAGTTATTGACTTATACCAGATATACTGTCAAATTTCTCTCTTATTTCAGTGATGATAATAGGCCCCTCAGATGATTTTTAGCTATTGGCTTCTTTCTTTTACTTGAAGACTGAGACTTAAAAGTTTAAACAGCAGTGTTTGAATTCAAAACTCAAATTCGTCTTAGAAATATTGAGGCAAAGTCACAAAGCTTTCTCAGCCTTCTGTATTCTTTATGTAAAGTAGAAATAATAGTTTTTTCTTAAGAACACTGTGGAGGATGTCTAATAATGAGAATTATTATTTGATCAAATTATCTTAGCATCTTTCTGTTTCCATTAGGTAAAATTGCAAGAGTTGGATCTGTAAAAATTTAAAGAATAGAACTCAGTCTTTCACATACTTTCCTGTGTTATTAGTAGGGTCAAAGGAAAGCAATCTTTTGGGAAAGAAGATTCAAAGATAAAGTGGGGAGGAAGAAGAAATAGGGTTAATTTTTAAAATCATGGAAATTATTGTGCTCTGATAATTCAGTTGGAATTTAAACTCTATTCAGTGAAATAAGTGTTCTTTCATAAAACTATCGAAAACAGCTTATTTTTTCTGTCTCTAATAAGGTACATATTTCATACCTGCATTAATTCAAAAACACTATAATAACAGAGTGGCAGCACTCAGTAAGAAACCAGTGTGGCTTTGGCTACATTTCCTTGCTTCTAAGTCCTATTCAAATATTATAATTAACTGTATTCTTTCTGCTGTTTAATCTGCTTATCCTAATTTTCTCATGCTATTCCTTGAGCTGGTAGATCTACTCCCTCAGTAAGAAAGCAAATAAAAATAAAAGAGTTTGAGTCTCACTGTGGTGATCTATCTTGCATGAAGCTTTCCTTATATATAAATTGTATCCTCCCCCCATTTCCAATCCATTATTTTTTCCTGTCTCTAGATGTGAGGTTCTTAATGATGTTGGAGATTTCATCAGATGAGAACAGACAGCTGGTGAACATTGTCTGGCTCTTCAGCCCCTTTTCCATACCCTTCTAAAACCCCTTCCATGATAAATACTTAGAAATATTTAGAAGCCAAATATTCCAGAAAATTGTTATTGTAATGCTTGCTTTTCTGTGTTTTCACCACATTGTATCAAGTCATGTAATGAGATGATCACGCTATTATTTGGAAATAGTTTCCTTTTCTAGAATTAAATTTGATTCTGATCCTACCACTGTAAATTACATTCTTCTGTTACCAAGGACCAAAAGTTTTAACAATGTCCCTGCCTTTTTTCTTTCCCCTTTCCCTTGTCTCCCTCTGTTTTAAAAATTGACAGATGTGAATCCCAGGGCAGCTTAAGAAGGTATATTAAAATGGGGGCCATAAAGTATATTTAATTTAGGAAACATGGAGCTGTTTTGAACATGTAAAATCACTGCTCTTTGCAAATAGGAGGAAGAAGGCACCTACGACCAAACTCTGGAGTTCCGTAGAGGAGGTGATGGCCAGCCAAGACGATCCACTCGGCCAACCCAGCAGTTTTACCAACCTCCCCGGGCTCGAAACTAGTATGAAAAGGTAAAGTTAACATTGTGAAGTGGTTTCCATATAAAGAAAGGTGCGATTCGTGTTAAATATGTAAGTCTAATTACTGATATTTTATAATGTACATAGAAAAAAACTAATTCTTTAAAACTACTTTCAATTATAAAGTATTTCAGATTATACCATAGTTACACACTGCTTTTCCATCAGACTTTTCCCCACAAATGCTATTCCTAATCCCCTGTTTTCTCTGTATCTACTATCTTCTTCTGTTGGAGGTGATGACAATCTGTGAAATGACTATAAGTTTGAAAGCAGGAAGGAGGTGAAAGAAAACAAAGGCAGAGGAAAACTTAAAAGGGGGAAGAAGCAGAGTTTATAGCAAGCAGCTTTCAGTGGCTACAACAGAGTATATGAACCAAAACAGTGGGTGTTAAAAATATTTATTGCCGGTGACAGAATAGTATGGCTTCAGATACACTGAGAGGTTGATGTGTTTGGTGTTATTATGAACTTCTGAATGAGAGAGTGATGTGATTAAAATTAAGCTTAGCAAATACTGCTTTTGGCTGTAGGATGGATTACAGCATCAGGAGGGAAAGAATCTAAGAAGCTATTGCACTGGCCCGCTGGAAGAGTGGTTAGAGTTGCATGTCCTGCTGTGAAAAGAGAGAGAGGGCAGACCTGTGTAGGAAGAGTCTGTAAGACAAATCAGCAAGAAGCTCCTGAGTACTACGGAGGTCAAGGTGCAGCATGGAAAACACTTCACTTTGAACTTCATTCTAGTTTCTTATTTGTTTGACGAAAGAATGGTCTTCAGAGTTTCACATATTAGCTAGAATTGAAACTAATAGCTAAGCATAGACTACTATATAAGTACTGTGACTTAGTTTATTTTCAAAGGTCCAGTTTTTAACACCATTTTTAGCTAGTAAAAGATGTATTTTTAAGCGTTGAATTTTTTTGACAATCTGGTCCAGCATTCCTTTGCAAAATGTTTTAAGTCAAGATTAGGAAAATGATCACTATATATTTAGCTGTTACAGAACCCATAATGTCAGCAGGCTGGGCATCATGTAAGGATAACAGTATTTATTTTCTAAGCAGGAGAAAATAAATGTTTACTTTGGAAGACTTATATGAGCTGTTTGTATGCAGCCATGGGGACTCCACCAGTCCCTGCCGAAGCACTCTGTCATGCATGGAGCTAAAATAGTACTGGCACAAACAAGTCTTCTCTCACCATTTATCTCACCTCTTTCTATTGTCACTACCCAAAGTGGTTTCAACTAGAAAGGTACCTAATAAAGGTATGGAGCAGGCAGGAGGAGGTGACAGACCAAACAAATTACCTGTATGAACTAACTCAATTCAGAGGTGTTCACTAGAGGAAGTGGAGGCGGGTAGGACAGGGGTAGAAGTGGCCGACTGGCAGACTGCATCTTTTTGAGGTCATCCTCTATGAAAAGCTATTCAGTTAATCCAGATTCCTGAAATCAACATGCTAGCAATAAAGGGTCTGACAGGGGCAGAGATGTGCTTTAACAATGACTAAAAGAAAAAATTATTTTTAAAAATGTTGCTTTTTTCTTTACATACTGCTTTATAGAGATTGTTTATAAATTAGCAGTGTTCAGTTTATTCTACTGATAGTCTATTGATATTTCTATAAACACTTCACATTCACAGTTAAGTTTTAGCAGAAGTGTATCTTGACAAAGTATGTGAAAGTTAATATAAGGGTTCAATTTCATTTTCTTTGTTTCTTTTTTTTTTAATAGAATCTTTGTGAAGAAAGGAACTGTTGACTGAAATATCCTGGTCAAAACCTGTTGATAGACTTTCTACTCTCCCTTCAGAATAAGAAGCAGTCACAGTGGCTATTAGTATATGAAAAAAGAAAGAAGATTTTAGGGTGGAAAAAAGATTCAACTCACACAAAGAATGGGAAAAAATACTGAATTAAATAAAGCAAATACCTTTTACAAATGAAAGGAAGAATTTTTTTCTTCTGGCATAAATAAATCCATTGTGCTATTATATACATTGTTTTACTGTCTGTTTTATTTACCTGATGTTATCTTTCTTGTTCATTTGGTATTATCCCCCACACTAATTGCCTTCTGTGGAATAGCAGTTACAGCACACTGAAGCCTCCTCCTGTAATTATGGAATAAACTGACTTAGCTTGCTACATTTCTTACAAAAATAACCTGAAGCCAAATAGCAGTTCTTAGTATGGTAATAGCTGCTAAATATGACAGCAAAAAGTAGTTAAAACTTGAATATGTTGTTTATAGCACTCTAGTAGCTTTTTCAAATGTAATTGAATTCAAAAAATAGGAATTCCTTTCCTTATACAATGTGCAATGGATCTTTCAGGATGCATCCCGTTGCAAGTAACTGAAAACCCATCTTAAACCAGCTTAAACATTAAAGGAGATGTACTGGCTCACTTCACTGCCAGAAGTGCAGTAGGTTTCAGGGTTGGTGTAATTCAGTGACTCAAGGATGTCACGAAAGACTGATTCTTTGTATCTCTCAACTCTGCTTTTTCTGAAATCGGCTTCATTCTGTAGCAGGCTGCCTCACCTGGCCACAAGTTAGCTAACAACTCCCAGAGCTACTAAGTGCAGGGATGGGGTTGGGGCTGCTTAAAAGGGCACACGGAAGAGAAAAAAAAGGTTTTCTCGTTAGGCTGCATTTACCTGTTTTGTGCTACTTTTCTACCTATGAACCAGTAACTCTAGCAGGGTCTGTGGATTATTTTAGGCCTGATCCACATGCCCCAGCCTTAGAAGTAGGAATGGTCAGTGGAGACAGGATATGCATCCAAAAGTCAGGTCCCTGCCAAGAGGAGAGGGAGAAAGTGTTGGTGAAGCATCCAGAATGTCCATTACAGTGAACGAACTGTCTGAGCTACAGACTCTTCACTTAACGGACAAAGACAGTCTTCCTCCAGTCTCTGTCCCATGAAGCCAGAACTGAACAGTTAAAAAGAAAGAATAAGGAAGGGAGAGAGGTAGGGAGGGGTGAAGAAGAGAATATTTGGGGCAAAATAATAAAATGTACTTTGAAGAAGAGGGCCCTAGGCATTCTCTTGGGGCCTATTAACTTTTAGTTTTCCTTATTAGCCCACAGTTGATAGTAGAGTGTTTTGTTTTTTGTTTGTTTTTGTTTTTACCCTCACTTGCATCATAATCAATCAACTAGAAGTGGGGTGGGTCTGGGCATTGCTATTTTTAGAAGATCTTCAAATGATTCTAATGTGTGTCCTAGGTTGAAAACCAGAGGAAGGCCCTTGGTAGTTTTGATGAGTTTGATAGCTGATAAGTCAATAAGGGAAGAGGCAGACGACCTTGAAGAAACTGAGTTCTGAGAGTGCAAGTGGGGCTAGCCATCGGTTCTGCTGAATGCACTGACACCCTAACTACTGAGAGATGCCTAAAGCCCTCTCCTTCAAAGCAAGTACCAAATTTGTCCATTATTTTGGCCAGAGGATTCTCATTCATTCTCTCTCTCTCTCTCTTTCCTTCTCTTTCTTTTTCCCTCTCTCTTTTCCTCCTTCCATCCCTCCCTTTCTTTCTTTTTAATTATGCACTTTTGGCTTCATAGGACTAAGACTGTGGAAAGGCTGTCTTGTCCTATTGAATGAAGAGTGTCGCTTACTTGATCTTGCAAGCTGAGGCCATGATGACAGCAGCCCAGCCTCATGCAGTTCTCTCCTGTCTCGTGGGCCTTTCTTTGTGGCTCTCAGCTACTCATCAGGGGCTAGCCCATACCTAGTTCAGCTGACTGCTAGGAATAAACATGGAAGGAACAAAGAAGACACAAGTGACAGTGGTAAGAGTTATGTTCCCACAGCGACTAGGCCAGAGTGGCCATCAGTCTTGCCAGCACTGACCCTTGACTGGCACACGCAGGAAAACAAAATTCAGTCCTGTGTGTGAGTGAGTCTGAGTGTCAGTGCGTGGCCTGGAGAGCCTTCACTAGGCCCTGCCTGTTGTCCCCGTCTGGGGTGGGTAGATACATTTATGCTGTTTTTCAAAAGTAAAAAGTGTGCTGGGATGTCTGTCATTCTTCCCCATCTCACATTCCAGTAACACTTCTTGAGATAAAATACTGAAGATAAAAATATTCCTTAAGACAATATGTTTGCATAAAGAAAAAGACAAGGCCACAGATACCAAAAACGGTTCTATATAAATAGGAAAGAGAACAGGGCTAGCTCAAATTCTTTGTTAACTACGGAAGGGAAGCCTTGAGTTTTGCGTTGTATAGTTTATGTACGGAGGGGAAGGAGAAAGTTCAGTTAAGAGAAGTAGGGGGACCCACATACTCCAGGCTGTTCAGGGCCAGGGAACGCCTGACAGACGGGCTCGAGTGGCAGTGCCGGCCTGGCCCTGGGAGAGACGCCGGCCGCGTGGGATCCAGCACTAGGAGAAATGCAGCCTGTCTGGAACCAAGGCAGGGTCACCTCAAGGTGGCCACAGCTTCAGGGGCAGGCTTGGCAGGGTCACCCGCAAGAGCTCAGTCCCCTAGGTTCCCTTCTTTTGCCTGTTTTGTCAGCCAGTATGGAGGGAGGGCCTGGCACGTTCCTTAAAATAGGGTCACAACCAACTGCTTTAGTCAAAGAGGCTTGTGAAAGGGATGGTTGGGCCACCATTCTAGAAGCAAAGCTAATTGATGCTTCAGCGTTTCAAAATCTGAGGAATGATAAGGTTGATAAACAGATGCATTCGGCAGATACCTATTTTCTTCTCAGCCTTTGAGAACAGGCATGAAACACGCCGGTAGCGCAGTGCCTGCTATTAAGGACTTGGCATTCTCCTGGGCTAGAGAAACACGGAGACAAACTAGGATTGTTATTTAGAGAATAGGGGGCTTAAAAAGGTGCTTGTTATAAATATTAGATTTATAACATTCTGTAAATCTAATTCTGCTCACAAGAGGGTGAAACCGGTTCCCTTGACAGAGCCCAGTGGGTGCCAGGAACCCAGCGGTGAGACAGGGGAAATGGAAAGTTAAATTAAGGAGTATCAAACAAAGGAAAGGCTCTTAGAGAAACACCTGAAAAGAAAGAGGAGACTTTCAGGTCCCACTCTCTAAGAAAGGACTCAGTCCCTACCCCAGGTTGTGGAGATCTTAGTGGTAGAACCTCTTAAGAGAGCTCTCCTGAGTTTTAATTCACTGGGGGTGGTCTCTGGCCTAGTGTGGATTTTTCTGGCATCCTGGTGGCTCCTTTCTCTTTCTTAATAATTTTTCTTGCCCTCTTTCTAAATAACACAAAGTCTCTTTTATGATCGTGGGTAGACCAAAAATGTAGGTCAACATCTCAAAACACTGCTTGCTAGTATTGTCAAGTACACATCACATAATCCAGGGTAGTGAACATATTACAACTTGAGAAAATTATATAACATATTTAGTTTCACATTGGGATGCCTTCGTTGAAGGAATATGCTGATTCAATTCAGAGACTGCTGGTGCCCACCTCAATGAGACAGTTATAAAAGGCCGGGAGAGGCTACCCATCCATTTTGCAGGGTCTAGGTAGTTTTTTTTCAAAAAATAGTAAATTTAGAAGAGGTATAGCAAGGAAAAATACCCTCATGAAAGGGCAGGCAGAACTTTTTTTAATACCTGTTTTTATATCAGCAAGTTTGAGGGGTACAGAAATATCTACAATAATCACAGGCTGTTTTTGCTTTGAGGTTGATAGGAAAAGAACAAAATTTAGAGGAATGTGGTGACATAGTCTAACTTCAGGTGGCAAGCTCTTTCACCACTAAAGAAAGGCAATTTTGCTAAAGTTCAGTTTACAGGACTTCTGCTTATTCCTTCTGTTAGGATAGAGCAACCAGGGATGGATTTATCTTCCTGCATGAAACAGTTGAACAACTGGACAAAACACATGAGATGTTGGAACTCAGGGTATTGGACACCAGGCAACAAAGTATAGTGATTACTAGACTCTTGAGTGATAAGCAAACTAGATGAGCCGTACAATTGGTCCAGATTACTACAAGGAGAAAATTTCGAGGCTGTGGGAGGGGAAACCCAGGCAGTGCCTCTCAGTCTCTGAGTTGAGAGATGGAGGTGGGAGTTGAGGGAAGACAAAGTAAGTAATTTCACAGGGTATAGAATATCAGAGATCTGGTTCATAGATCTAAAGGTAATACCTAAAACTATAAATCATCTGGGAGAAAACAGGAATTCTTTGCGACCCAGGGTCAGACAAAAAGATCTTTAGGTACAATACCAAAAACATGATCCATAATAGAACAAACTTATAAATTGTACTTAATCAAAATTAAAACTTTATTCTCCTCAAAGACACTGTTAAGGGAATGAAAAGACAAGCTGCAAACTTGGAAAAAATATTTGCAAATATTTGCATATCTGATAAAGGACTTGTTTATAGAATATATGAAAAATTCTCAAAACTCAATAAGAAAACAACCAAATAAAAAAAAAAAAGGCTAAAGATTCAGACAGGCGGTTGATCAAAGAAGATATGAGCATGTGTAAAGCTGTTCAGCATCATCGGTTCATTAAGGAAATACAAATTAAAACCATTATTAAATAACCACTACACACCTATTAACATGACCACAGTTGAAAATATCCACCATGCCAAGGGGTGGCAAGGATGTGGAGGAACTAGAAGTCTCATGCACTGTTTTGGGGAATTTAAGATGGTACAAACTGTTTGGTACAAACTGTTTGGAAAACAGTTTGACAAATTCTTAAAAAGCATACACCTGTCATAGAACCCAGTCATTCCACTCCTTGTTCTTCACCCGTGATAAATGAAAGCATATGTTCATACTTAGATTTGTACGTGAATGTTCACAGTATATTTATTTGTAATAGCCCCAAACTGGAAGCAACTCAGATGTCTATTAACATGTGAATGCATAAACACATTGTGGTATATTCATAAATAAAATACTACTCAGCATGTTGATACATGCAACAATATGGATGAATCTCAAAACAATTATTCCGAATAAAGAGGCCAGAACTTTGGGAAGTGGGGAACATATTGTAT